CTATAATATGTTACTAGGGAATATCAAAGAAGAACTAAACAAATGAAGAGATATACTGTATTCATGGGTTGGAAGACTATTAAGATGACAATTCTCCTCAAATTGATCTGTAGATTTAATGTAATCCCAATAGAAATTCTACCAGGTTTCTTTCCACTAGAAATTGATGAATTGATTCTAAAGTTTACATGGCAATACAAAGGATGTAGAAGAGCCAAAAGAGCTTTGAAACAGAAGAACAAGGTTAGAAGACACACTACCTGATTTTAAGATTTCTGGAATGCTACGGTAATTGACAGTGTACTGGTGTAAGGAGGAGCATATTGAATAGTTGTACAGAATACATATAAGAAATAGACCCAAAGTACATATAAGCAATGCTTGTAACTCAATAAGATAATAAGCAACCCTATTTTAAAAATGGGTAAAAGATTTTAACAGATACTTTACCCACCAAAACACACAATTGGCAAGTTAGCTCACAAAAAGATGCTGGATATCATTAGTCTGTAGTCAAACGAAAGTTAAAAACCTCATGAGCCACCACTACAAATCTACTAGAACAGCTAAAATGTGAAAAGACTGACAATAGCAAGTGCTGGTCATCATGTGAGGAACTGAAACTCTAATACATTGCAGGTGGAATGGAACAGGATAGTCACTTTGGAAAACAGCAGACCTTTATGCAGTTAAACATCGACTTATCACACAACGCAGCAATCCCATACCTAAGTATTTATCCGAAAGAAGTGAAAACATATGCAAATGTTTATAGTGGCTATATTCATAATAGGCACAAATCGGAAGCATCCTGCATTTCCAACAACTGTTAAATAGATAAACAAATCGCAGTACATCTGTACAGTGGAATACTGCCGTTGATATATGCAACAACACAACATGGATGAATCTCAACAGCATTATGCTAAATGAAAGAAGCCAAAAACAAAGTGGAAAATGCCATATGATTTAATTTATACAACATTCTGGGAAGGCAACATCATAATGAGAAAAACAAGCTCAATCGCTTCCAGGGACTGAGGATAGAAGGAAGAGATTTGCTTAAGGAAGATGAGTTTCATTTCTAAAATGTTTCAAAATTTTAGAAATGAAAAAGCAGTGGTTAGAGGGAAATTTATCATTTTAAATGCAAAATTAAAAAAGAAAAAGAATCAGACTCAATAAGTTTCTACTTTAAAAACAACTAGATGAAGAAAAATGAAATGCAAAAGAAAGAAGGAAAAAAGATATAAGCAGATATCAATGGGAAAAAAAATGATAAACCTTTGGAAATACTGGCCAAAGAAAAATAAGAGAAAACACAAATTATTGATATGAGAAATGTAAAAGACAATATCACTATTTACTGATGGGCACTGAAAGAATAAAAAAGTGATATCAGAGGCATCAGGCTGGTATGGCTCACTTGGTTGGAGCATCGTTCCATACACCACAAGGTGGCAGTTTGATTCTAGTCAGGACACATACCCCAGTTGTGGCTTCAATCCCTGCAGGAGGCAACCATTGGATGTTTCTCTCTCACATCCATGTGTGTGTGTGTGTGTGTGTGTGTGTGTGTGTGTGTGTGTGTCTTTGTCTCTCCCCACTCTCTCTAAAAATCAATGGGAAAAAGTCAATTCTTCCCTAAATATCTCTGTATTTCCCTTATCATTTGAAACAAACTTTAATCGGGGTTGTTGTTTTTTTCCAGTGTTTAAATAGAAATGAATGGCGGCTCTCTCTCTGAAGCACACCCACACCTTTCTCCTTCCCCAGGCTCCTTCTGTCTGCCTTTTTTTTTTCTTCAAAGGTCCTTTCTTTGCCTCTATAATTTGTTTCCTGATGCCATAAAGCCCAACTGGCTCACCTTTTCTATCTCTGTGACTTTCTAAATTATTTTAAAAATTATATATACATATATATATATATATATATATATATATATATATACACACACACACACACACACACACACACACATATATATATATATATATATATATATATATAGAGAGAGAGAGAGAGAGAGAGAGAGAGAGAGAGAGAGAGAAAGAGAGAGAGAGAGAGAATTGTACAAGATGACTATAAAATGTATGAAGAAATACTAAGGTCATAAAAAAACAAACTATCTTAAAAACAAATAACAAAATCCAAGGACTTACATTATCTGATTTCAAGAGAAACACAAAACAAAACCTACAAAAACCTCATAGCATCACAAAAGATCATAGAACTAAATCTAAAGAGCTAAAACCTGTAAACCTTCTGGAAGAAAATATTTTCATGAACTTGGAGTAACAAAGGTTTCTTGGTACCATAAATAGTTGATAGAAATAGACTTCACTAAATTAAAAAGTTTCTGTTATCAAAAGACCCATTAAGGGCTGAAACCTGTTTGGTTCAGTGGATAGAGCGTCAGCCTGCAGACTGAAGGGTCCTGGGTTCAATTCCTGTTGAGGACATGTACAATACCTTAGTTGCGGACATATCCCCAGTAGGGGGCGTGCAAGAGGCAGCTGATCGATGACTCTCTGTCATCGATGTTTCTAACTCTCTCTCTCCCTTCCTCTCTGTAAAAAATCAATAAAATATATTTTTTTTAAACGCCCATTAAGGGATGAGTCAATGAGCTGCAGACTGGGACTAAACATTCACAGTACATATCTGGCAAAGGACTTGTGTCCAGAATATATAAACAACTCCAATAAATCCTGCATAATAAGAGCCTAATATGCTAAGTTTCCGACTGTTTGACTGTTCGACCAGTCACTATGACATGCACTGACCACCAGGGGGCAGATGCTCTGAATGGTAGGTTAGCTTGCTGCTGGGGTCCAGCCAATTGGGATTGAGTGAGATGGCCAGACACGCTTTGGAGCCTTCCTATGGTCCCTCCCCATCCCCAATAGTACACTGATGGAGTCCCTCGGCCTGACCTACACCCTCTCACAATCAGGGACCCCTCAGTCGGAGTGCTGGTTTTTAACTGATCTTTGCAGGCCAGGCCGAGGAACCGCACTGGTGCACAAATCCATGCACTGGGCCTCTAGTCTATAATAAAAAGACAAACAGCCAAATAAAAATAAGGAAAATACTTAAATAGATACTTTACAAATAAGCTATGTAAGTAGCCAATAAGCACATGAAAAAGAGCCCCAAATCATTAGCCATCAAGGAAATGTAAAGTAAAACCACAATAACAGACCACCACACCCGACCAGAGTAGCTAAAGGTTAAAAGTTGATAGTATCAAATGTTGGTGAAGATGTGGAGCAATGGAGATGCTAGTGCTGACTGTAAGGAGAGCAAAATGACAACCATTTTATAAGTCAGCCTAGCAGTTTCTCAGTTATTCCACTTCTAGGTTTTACCTAAGAGAAATGAAAACATGTGAATGCAAAGGATGTATACAGGAATGTTCATACTAGCTTCATTAATAATATCCCCAAACTAGAAACAACCCAAATGCTTATCAACAGGAGAGTACATACATAAATCATGGTAGAGCCATAGCCAAATACTGCTTATCAATACTCAACAACATGAGTGAACCTCAAAAACATTACATCAGGAAAAATCCAGACACAATAGGTGAATAAAATTTCATTTATATGATGTCCTAAATATGGCAAAAATAATCTATGGTGAAAGAAATCAGAACAGTGGTGGTTTCTATGGATGGAGGGAATGGAGATTGACTGGGAAGGAAATGAGGGAACTTTCTGGAGTGATGAAAATGTTTGATAATTGATAGGTATGGATTATATGGGTGCACACAGTTATCAAACCTCATCAAATTGTACATTTAAGATCTGTGCATTTCAATATATGTATCTTATACTTCAATTAGAAAAAGATAGTTTTGAGAAGTAAATTGAAAAACAATCATTAAACTACTTTAACAAAACAAGCTCAATAAAAGTCTGCTTATAAAAGAAAGCAATGTATGGTGCCAGATGGGTACTAGACTTATCGGGGTGGGTCACTTCATAAGGTACATAAATGTCTAATCACTGTGTTGTACACTTAAAAATAATTTAACATTGAATGTTAACTCTATTGAAAACATAAATTTAAAAAAGAGAAAATTAAATCTGGGACCTACTCGTATTGAAGTCTTTGTTATAAAAAAAAAAGGAGAAAGCTGAGCTGGAGTGGCTCAGTGGTTGAGCATTGACCTATGAACCAAGAGGTCACTGTTCAATTCCCTGTCAGGACACACGCCTGGGTTGCAGGCTCCATCCCTAGTAGGAGGCATGCAGGAGACAGTCGATCAATGATTCTCGCTCATCATTTATGTTTTTATCTCTCTATCTCCCTCTTCCTTCCTCTCTGAAATCAATAAAAAAAATGTTTAAAAAAAAAGGAGAAAGAGGAATCAAGGATAATCATCAAGACCATCATTTATTCTTATGATTTTTTTCTCATTTTATTCCCTCCGCAACCCATTTTTCAGATATGGTAGACAAAAACATGATTTAATAAACAAATCTTCCCCCACCAGCCTTAGCAAAAACCTTAGGTTTAGGCCCCTTATACACTCAATATCAAAGCACTTTTTTCTCTTTTTAAATTTTCAGGCAATACTATCACTAAGAAATGTGAACGGAAGGGAGGGGAAAGGAGGGAGGGAGAGTGTGGAATGCCTATTACCATTCTTTGTTTCAGCAATACTCATAAAATATGCACCAGATCCATGACCAGAATTCTTGAAACATCTTATTCTGTGCAATTCATACTACTAGATTATCTGCCAGGCCGAGGGACCTCACTAGTGCACAAATCCATGTACCGGGCCTGCAGTGTAAGTTGGGGGCTAGAAAGCATGATTTTCCTAATAAATATTCTACCTCATGCTCACTGCAAAACCGAGCCTAGCACAACCCCCCTACCATCTCAACTAAGAGTCTCAGGGACAAAACTATGCCTAAGCTCCTGTGATAACAGCACACAGTTGTACACCAGGGCAGCAGGAACAAGAACGGGTAACTGGTCCTTACCACATCCAGTACCGCACGGACACACACGTCCAGGTAGACCATGGTGGCCTCTGTCCAATCGTGAACTGGTCTCACGTCCTTATGATACTTCTGCAGCAGCTGCTTGGTGAGATGGTGCAGAGCAGAACTCCTGGGACGAGGAGTATCTATGGCTAGGGTTCCTGAACAAGAGAACTGTCATTGTGAAGTTGAAAACAAGAGGAGCTTAGCATCTTCAGGAGAGTTCAGACTATTCCTGACTCCTAGCAGAATAGAGCCTCAGCTCACCCCAATCAGCCTAAGCCCAGAGCCAGCTGGTAATTTTTTTTTGACAGACAGCTTTAAACAACCGATGTAAGTAAGCTGATGGCCTCTGTGTCCCATAGAGAAATCTCATTGCAAAGATAAATAAATCAGCTCCATCTTCAAGGAAGCCAAGCTGCGCCCACAATCTCAGTTTCAAGCAATCATGCATCTTGGAGACGAATCCTTTCCTTGTTCTTGTACCGTCTCTTCCTGTACATGAGACTAACCTTCCTACACACTTAGCCAATTTTCTTTTGATTTTCCATTTTTAATTCAACAGTTAAAATAGAAAACCCAGGCAAAAACATGGACGAACCTACGAACCCAAAGATTTGCGTGGATTTCTAAATAATGGGATTAATGAGATACCAATTCTTTTCTACTAAAAAAAAAAAAAAAAAAAAAAAAATCACTTTTCTCACTCGGTCTGTCTTTAAATAAAATGCACTTGTCAGAAAATGAGATCTTCATTTGGGGAAATTCTCTCTAGTTCCAGGGAGCACCCATTTCCTACGGCCCAGGAATCTTGATGTGTAGAGGAGCAGGGATTGGTGTTGGGGGAGGGGGAAAGAAGCCAGAGAAATGAGCGTCAACAATTGGAGGTGACAAATCTGTGAGGGTTTTCTCCGAATTGCAGAAAGATATTTTGTTCACAAGCTCTGCCAGCCCTCGGGGGATTCAGAGCCTCACTAAGTCATTGGACTGAAGCAAATTGTGTGCCTCCTGCCAGGGCGTGTGAGTGAAATCTATCTGTAGTGTCCTGCCTGCGAATTCGCTGGCGCTCAGTGGTTTTGATGGTTATTTTGATGAGCTGCTGAAGGTATGCGGGATTCAGCAGGAAACTGTAAATGAGGTATCTTCTCCCTGCGCAACAGTCCTGTTTCTACCCATTTCTCTATGAATGATGCCATGTCACTCGCAGCCACAGGCAGCAATTTCTATGATTTATCAATGTCATTGTGACCAAAATGCTCACAGCGATGCTGGAGGTGCAATTCCAGACTCATCGTGGGCAGTGGAATATTCACTTTCATTACCCTCGGAACCGGGAGCCTAATGAGAATATTAACTCCCTAACTGCTCACCTGAGGGGCGCCTGAAGTGGCGGGAGCTAGTCAGGCGTGCAGGCTGAGGTGCGTGGCTTGCATCAGGCATCATGTTTAGGGTATTTTGTGAACTCTGATTGTCAAAAAATGTGCTGTGACTCTCCACCTGAAGCCACCTCTTGCTGGCGTACCCCAGGGGACAGAAGTCAGAAGCACAGAGACAAGCTGGTCTGGGCCTTTTCCTGTGAACTTTGCTGTGGGCGACCTCACTTTTACCTGGCTCAGAAGCTCCCAATTCCAGTCCCCGCTGGGGAAACACTGAAAGGGCATGTTTCAACACGGACAACCTGCCCGAGACCGAATGAAGACAATTCTGAGAAATGAACACGTGTGTTCCCTACACCCTCTGCTCACAAAGGCTCTGATTCCCCGCTACCGTCTTTTCTAGGAAGCAATCGACAGGTCTCCTTAGGTAAACATGTATTTCCTAGAACAGGTCAAGGTCTTTGGGTAAAAAGAACAAATTCTGGAAGCCAGAACTGGGAACAAAAGAGAAACGGGCATCCATAGGAGAAACATAAGAAACAAAAGGAAGCGGGTTTAAGTAAACTGTATGAGGAAAGAGTTCTTTGTTTAACATGGGAAGAAATAATAAATTACATTTCTATGATGCATGCAAATTTGCCTGAGGAGCAAGATCTATAGCAGGAGGGAGATTAAGGATCTAAGTGACCATTAATTAACAGTAAATTATGCCCCTTGAAAGCTAATGTGACATTCCCACGAGCGCCAAATGACTCACCGTGAAGTGATGTTTCAACAGACACTGATGGACGCTCTCGGCAGACCCGGGGCAGAGTGCGCCTAGCTCTGCCTCCTGACAGCCAGCTTTAAATAACTCACTCAAGATCGTGGGAAGGGGGAATGTGAAAGGAACTGAGATATGAAAATCTTTTAGGTGAAGAGAGGGTGTGTGTTTTTTTTAAAAAGATAAGAATACAGTAGGATAATTCCTTTGTTTTCCTTATTTGAATGAGTTTTTCTTGCACACACCTATCTTAAAGTGTTCTGCACTTTGATTAAAAGAGCTATTCTGGCCAAAACAGGTTTGGCTCAGTGGATAGAGCATCGGCCTGCGGACTGAAAGGTCCCAGGTTCGATTCTGGTCAAGGGCATGTACATTGGTTGCAGGCACATCCCCAGGGGGTGTGCATGATGTCTCTCTCTCATCAATGTTTCTAGCTCTCTATCTCTCTTCCTTCCTCTCTGTAAAAAGTCAATAAAATATATATATTTTTTAAAAAGAGCTATTCTGGCTTTAGTGAGCATCCTATCTTTAAGATTATGCCAGGTGTATATACACCTGAGAGGTTACAAGGAAATAGAGGTTTAGGTGTGTGGTTCTATTGAATACCTCCTGCGGATGGAATGCTTTCAAATGGCAGGCACGAGGCTAATGGCGCTTTCCATGAATTATCTCATTTAACTTTGGCCACGGCCTGTGACATAGATTCTCTGCAGCCCCATGTGTCACTGTTATTACAGATGAAGGACTACAGCCTTGAGAAGGTTAGTGCCGCCTGAGGTCACACAGCTGGCGAGTAAAGAGGCCGGGATTTAACAGCGACTGATCAGTGGCCCAGCTTCCTGAAAATATTAGCCACCGCGGTGAGCAACCTTTGCCAAGAGACAGGTGCATCGCATCGTACACTGCTGGGCAGAAACAGCCCCTCATAATTTTTTTGCGAATGTGTGTTTTCAGGTCCGTCATAGCTTCTGTTTGCATTGCACCTTGCACAGTCCACCATGCTGCCTTGTCTGATCTTCGTGAACATATACACTAGTTGACTTGCAGGAAAACTGACTCTCTAAGAGATCAGTGGACTCAAGCAGTGGCGCAGGAACTAACAGGCTCTCTTCATCCAGGCCCTCTGCCCAGCACACTCCCTCCAGCAGCAGCAGTGAAGTGGTGGCCGGCTCAGTGACCTTATATTGACAAATTCTCCTGGTACTAACCAGTTAGCATTCCCGAGGGTGGGTTATTCTGCGACTGATGTGCTCAGTAGGATTTATGTTCAAGCACAGATTACTAGATACTGTCAAACCACCTTTGTCTGCAACATTTAGAACAAAAATCAAGCATAACACAAAACATTAGGAGGAGACGTTAAGAATTTCTTCTGTTTTCTTACCCTCATTTTTCTATTTTATCTTAGTTTAATGTTCATAATTATTTTCTGCTAGGAAACCCATTTGGCATTTAATGAAATTTCCTCTGTTTTCATTTTTATAATTAAGATAGGCTTTTATCCTTTAAGTTCAATAATCAGGATTTTTATACTTTAATGATAAGTGGCTATTCCCACCTCTCCCCCCTTGTATAAAAAAATCATTTCCAGCTTCCTGACCACCAAATTCCTTCTTCATCCCCATAATTGACTCATTCCACTTCCAGTTTTATTTTAAAACATGGAAATTCAGATATGGGCTCGAGGAGAACCCTCAAGAAAGGGGGATATTGGGAAATAGCAGCATAAAGATAAATTATTTATTTGTACATGTTTCCTAAGAATCCATTGGCGTCCTAACTAAAATGGCTTAATTCAGTAGAGTTCATACATGGATGTTTAGTTCCAAAATTTTAGGGGGGAAAAAATACATTAGCTTCTAAGAGGAATTGTTACCTAATTTTAAGAGGAACTGTGCAGCCGAAACTGGTTTGGCTCAGTGGGTAGAGCGTCAGCCTGCAGACTGAAGGGTCCTGGGTTTGATTCTGGTCAAGGGCATGTACCTTGGTTGTGGGCACATCCCCAGTTTTTGTTTTTGTTTGGGGGGGGGGCGTGTGCAGGAGGCAGCTGATCAATGTTTCTCTCTCATCTATGTTTCTAACGCTCTATCCCTCTCCCTTCCTCTTTGTAAAAAAAAATCAATAAAACATATTTCTTTTAAAAAAAAAAGAGAGAGAGAAACTGTGCACCCAAAACATGTGAGCTGACAGCGTGTGTCTTTGGACACAGACTCACCTGTACAGACCGTGTGGCTGGATGGAAGCCCCAGAAACCAAATGGTCTTCAGGCATCTGTAGCCATGATGCGTCCAAGGGCCCCTCTCTCTGGGTTACCAAAAGCTTATGATGAAGCCAAGACTATTTTGGATAACAAAAATGGACGCTTCAGACACAAAAACAAACCTGAGAAAGAACGTCCCCCATGCTCCATGGAAACTGCAGCAGAGAGAGGGGTCCTCGAACAGCAGAGACTCGGCAAGCAGGGCACCCCGAGGCCCTCTCGCTCTGTGGGGCAGCTGGGCTGTGGGGCCTGGTGTGTGCACGTGACTGTACCTATAGGAGCAAAGTCTCCATGGAGCATCACAGGACTGGCCTATGACAGGTGAGGTAGTCACATAGCACAAGGCAGAAGACACTGTCTCTAGCTCCTGAGCGTTAGCATTCCTGCTGTTAGATCCCCAGAGGACTCACCTGACGCAGCCACCAGGATCAAGGGCCACAGAGGAGCCATCACACCTGCCAGAGTCTCCGGACAGAGAAGGCAAGGTTGCCCGTTGGAAGGAATGGCACTCAGTCCTGCCTGGCAGGCTCCTCTTCACGGAGCTGCTCTCTGCCGCTTGTCCCTGCCGATGCCACTTGGCAAACACCAAATGGAAGCCAGAGGCAGTCCCAGTGCCACAGGAACTTTTGGAACTGGTGCCGTCGCGATCGCCCTGAACTTCTCCACTCGCTTCTGCCCCAGGATCCAATCAGGGCCAGCACTGCCATTCCCCAACAGGACGTTCTAAGTGAATAATGTAATTGAAGAGGAGCCCTGGAGGACGGGAAATTCCACATTAATATGATTTCCTTGGCAGCTTCTACCTAAGGCAATGCTCTTGCTTGCATTGAGGACACTAATCTCATTCATAATTGAGACCCAAATCGCTGTTCCAAACATGCAGGAAGATCTTCAGCATTCACAGAGTTACCAGCCTCAGACTACCCAGAGCGAGTGGAAACCCGGTGCTGCCTCATGGAGGACAAGTGCTGGCGTGGGCTTTTTGTGTTCCCTAAGCCCCTTTCCTGAAGAGAGGCGCTGATTTTTGATGAGTAGGAGTGCTTTTTAAATGTCCATTGCCCACAATTCAGAGTAACTATGTGAGAGAGGGTGGTCTAGGCTCAGTGGACATGAGAACTGCTGAAGTTTAGCATCATTCAACACATTTTTTTCTTCGCTTTTTGATCGAGTGACCATTATCTCTTCATTATTTTTTTTTAAAGCTGCATAATTCTATAGTATAATAACTCTATTTTCCAGTAGTAGACTCCTAGATGCTCTCAAAACTAATACTTCATTTCATACCATTTTTTAAAAGCTGCCTTCATATGGTTCATTTTCCTCATAGCTGTAGAGACACAGTGGACACTCAATAAAGGATTGTTGAATGAATGGGGGGAAAAAAGAGCTGCCTTCTTTTTACTATAAATGGGATTGTAGAGGCACAAGTGTGACATATGTTTTTATAAGTAAATTGGGGGAGGGGGATATATACCTGATTCCTAAGTATTCAGTCCCTTTGGTTAGAATCCTTGGAGTTCTCTTCCTAATTTTCACTTACCAATAAAATGTAGCCCGATGGGTTTCCTTCTGTTGGTGAAGACTCTGACTCTGAATTGGATCCTGTTACTATAAAAAACATTTGGGGGGAAATTGGTGAGACTCAAATGGAAGCTGTAGATGACATAACAGTGATGATATTGTGACTTTGATTATATGGAGAGGATATAAAAGTATTCTTGCCTGTAAGAATAAAATGCTAAGTGCTCACAGGTAAAAAGGCGTCAGATGGCAACTTACTCTCAAGTGGTTGGTGGAGGTGGAGGTGGGGGTGTCTGCTATTCTTCCAATGTTCTGTGCATTTGAAGTTATTTCTGAAGGAAACGAAATGAAATTGTTGTACCTGGTAGAGGAATTTTGATACAAAGTTATAAAAAGTTTACTGGAGAAATATTCCTCAGAGATATTTATCTCTAGATTTATTCATCTGGTGAGCAGATAAATGGAGCTTCGTCAAGAGATACAATCACTACCAGGGGTTGATCTGGCCGTCGAGTCCCAGCACTCCCCATCAGTTCTCCGAACTGTTGGCTTCTACCTATGAGATGAGTCTGGACCAGAGGAAGGCAAGCTGCAGGCAGCACCACGGAAAGCACAGAAGCAGAGGTTTAATTGAGACGATGATGGACACTACGTTCTTGCCAGGCATTTCAGTAAGCCACGACTCTAAATCAAACCCTCCCGCTTCTCCTCACTTTCCCGTACACCCATCTGTTACGGGAAGGCCTTTGCTAATGATGTGTAATACAGGTACATTACGACCTTCATTAGCTAATTTAACAACAGTCTGGTGCTCCTGCCCATTACAGCTCCTTGTTGACTGATTGTTCTGCCAAGAGGGAAAGGTTTTGTGTGAGCGACTTGTCTTCAAAGTACTTGATACACAGACGCTTCCTGGTCCTTCCTCGGCCACCCTGTCCGGTACAACCAGGCAGCTTAGGTCTTCCTCCTCCAGCTTTACAATTCTGTCTGCATTTGGTTGGTTTACTCCGTGCCTTTCAAGTTGGTATCTCTCCTCTGCTCAACCTATACTTTTTCATGAAAATTTAAACATGGCACTTTTAACTTGCACTGTTTCTGATAACCACTAGGCCCAGTGCATGAAATTCATGCACTGGGGGTGGGTTGGGTGGGGGGAGTGAGGGAGGGTGTCTCTCAGCCTGGCCTTCACCCTCTCTAATCTCAGACATCCCTTTTGCAATCTAGACCGCTGGCTCTGAACCCCTTACCTGCGTGCCTGCCTGCCTGATTGCCCCTAACCACTCTGCCTGCCATCCAGCTCACCCCCAACTGCCCCCCCCACTGGCCTGCTTGCCCCCAACTGCCCTCCCCTCCTGGCCTTATCACCCCTAACCGCCTCAGCCTCAGTCCCACCACCATGGCTTTGTCCGGAAAGACATGCGGAAGGTCTCCCAGGAGGTATCCCAGTCTAATTAGTATATTACCCTTTTATTAGTATGGATTAGTCAAAAATTTCATACACACACACACCCTTATACCTCTCCTTAGAAAGGATGAATATTGGGATTGGGGGGAAATGCCATTTGGGTCCTTCAAGCAGATTAGTGTTTAAATAAACAACCAGAATTGTCACCTGGGAGAAAGAAAGACTTCCTAATCTGAGGTTTGGATCTGCCCCTCTCTGTCTGTGGTTCAGGACAGGCCTGTCTTTAGGAGATTCCTGGTACGTACTTCTCTCTGCGGTCCCCCTCCACACCTGTGAGCCCATGCACTGGCTCCTCCAGCGTTTCCAGGAAAGATAGGGCCCCTCTCAGATGGACCCGGGTCTTTTGGAGGAAGCAGGGGGAGAGGGTTTATTATGCAAATATAATAAGGAAGTGTTTATTATGCAAACAGCAACTGTGTTATGTGTCCTTTAAGACTACTAAATAGTTTTTAATTACTGCTATATCAGTAAATCCCATAAATATGCAAATGCAATTAGTTCACAAAATAGGCCTTTAAATATCTTTATTCCTCTCCAACAAAGTTCTTTGAAGTTAATCGCCAGCTCTCTTTGTCTGCTCCCTTGGCAGTCCTGCTCAAAGTGACAGGGATTTTGACAGATGTACATACTCAGAGGGAACTAGATTCTCTGAGCACATCTGGTCAGGCCAGAGGAGAAAGGCGGAAATGGACGCTCTCACGAAACTCAAATAGCTCATGAGGAGAGCCTCACGTGGAATTCTTTTCCTCCACAGCATTGTCCTCTGAAATAAAGAAAGACCCATGTGGCAGCCCTTCAAGTCCAAAGCCACACTCAATATCTGACTTTCTTCTGGCTCAGAATTTCATTAATAATGATTAATGAACATTTTTCTGGTCCCTAAAAAAAATAAAAATAAATACAGAAAGAGTCCCCGTGACTCTGGCCCTCCTGGTCCACATGACGTGCGTTCTGGGAGAGGTCACAGGACACAGGAGCTGGGGTCCCAGGCTTTAAAATCAGACACACTTTGTTTTCCCTCCCTGCTCACTGTTGGATGCTCATGGCTTTAGTCAAATTGCTTCCTGTTGCTAAGCCTTCGTTTTCACACCTGTGAAAAGAGGGCTACAGGCTCTGGTTAGTTTTCTTTGGCTGCAGAATGAGTTTCCACACGCTTAGCAGCTTAACCCCAGCAGGAGCTCCCAGTTCTGAGGGCCCGAGCCCAGGCACAGCACAAATGGCCTCTGTGCGGGTCTCCCGAGGCTGAAGCCACGGCGGTGACCTGGAGCCAGTGGTGTCCATCCCTCCCTGAGCATGCTCAGGGAGAACAGGGGGCAGTGTGGAATCAGCCACGATGGGGGTATGTGCCAATGGAAATCGGAAAGCACTATGCATCAGGCCGCTCCACCCCCTGCTCACTGACCATCTGCAGCTCACCTTGGTCGCTCCTGGAAAGCACAGGTCTCGTGGGTACCCCCATTATTGCACTTATTCAGGTGCATCGTGACTATTTATTTCCCCGGCTCTGCCCCCTGAGTTCCTTGAAGACAGAGCATTGTATCTTATTCATCTTTGTATCTGCAGCCAAGAGCCCGGTACCTGGTGAGTGCCCACCGAATGCTGGAGGGTAATAGAAGGAAGACAGGGATGGAATAACCAAATGGGCAGAAAAGAACTTTGGTTTATACACGAAAGATGGCCGCCGACAGAAGGGTCTAGCTTTCCCACGGCCACATCCACATGCCTTCCTTTCACCACCCCTCTCCCAAAGTAGGTGTGAGTGTGACAGCCTGGGTTCGAAGCAAGATTGCACAGCCAGCTAGCAAGTAGTGCAAAGGAAAAACATGGGCACAGATACCAGCAGTTCCCACCTCCCCGATTCTCTCAGAGGGTGCCAGTCTTAGCCGCCTGGAGTGAGATGTCCCCCCTAAAGCCAGAGCCACAGGGGCCGTGGGCTCACTGCTTCTGTTTCCGCCTCCCACTGTGTCTGTGCAGCAGAGTGCTCAGGCTGCACTGGAGGCAGCTGGTCTCACCCAGCGAACTGCTGCTCAGGCCCCTGCGTGGATCGCGGGCCTTGCTGTGCCAGTGCCCGGGACTCGCCCCTCTCCTCTCCATGCTCACTGCAGGGCCCAGGGCTTTCCCATTCGGCCCATTGAGGAGTTGTCACTGGAGAGCCCTGCATGCTGCCAACCACAGCAGCCAACAAGATATTCTGGATCAGGTCTACAGTTCTGGATATTCCCATCTCTGCTGTGGCCTTAAGATGGGGCTCGGTCTTTGACCCTTTCCAGCTTGTCTCATTTATTTATTCATTCATCCCCTCACTGTGGGGCATTGTGGTAGACCCTGGAGCTGGGTAAAGGTAAGGAAGCTAAAGGAGCTGGGGGTGGAGGTGACAGGTAGGAAATGCTTAGAACACAATGAGATAAAGGCCAGCAGGTGAGTGACCCCTGGGAAAGAAGAGTAAGAAAAGGAGCCCAGACTAGGGGTGGGTGAGGGGAAGTTGCGCTTGGTAAAGAGAGACTCCGAGGAGAGGGAGAGGGGAGCGCCGGCAGCAGGAAGAGCACGTGAAAAGGCAGGATGGTGAGAAGAGAGCATAGCACCTGGCCAGCCTCACTTTGGAAAATCGGGGGTGAGGGGAGCAGGTAAATCCAAATGAACATAGTTGAGTGGATTAACAAATTCACGTTACCAAGTGTTGAGGGGAATAAATAGAAAAGTGAGATACTGTCTACGTTTGTGTGAGTGCTGTGATTATAAAGCTGTCTCCCAGGGGCCTGCAGCAATTACTCTAAAATGCACAGCAGCTGTATTTGTCCCCTTCCTGCCCTTGCTGAGATTCACACTGTCATTGCTCCAGGAGGAAGGCTTGGCACTAATAACAGGTTAGCTGACTATGGCTGGAGGGTGACAGACCTCTAGTTAGAGCCCTTAATGACTGCAAGCAGAGCAGGGAAGTGGAAAGCGCAGTGGAAGCAAAGTGAATGTAGTCAGAGCGCCGCCTTGTGGCAGCTGTCATGCCTGCAGCCCCAGAAAACAACATTTATTATATTTTACTAGTGGCCCAATGCATGGATTCATGCACATTGAAAGGAAATAATTAGAAGAAGTAGTTTAGTATTGCTATTTGCCCTTTCTCTCTCAATGCCTGGGAGCTGGGCAGCAGTCCCACCCCCGCCGCTGCTGCTAATGGCCATCTGAGGGGCGATCAGGCCTCTGCTTACACCCTCCTTGGCCTGGTACCGCCCACTCACCTGCTCCACCATCCCGGCACAGTCCCGCTCTCGTTGGGGCCCGCAGCACCTGCACTGCCGCCTGCTGCCAGCGCCACATCACCACCCTGTTCTGCACCACCCCCTGGTAGTCAGTGCACATCACAGTGAGCAGTCCAACTTTTGGCCGAACCACTGCCTAAGGGGACAATTTGCACATTAGTCTTTTATTATACAGGATTATACCAGCAATTTTCAACTGGTGTCCCACATAAAATACCTGACTATTTAGTCATCGATATTGACCTCTCTTTCCTTAGATTTTCAAATAAAATTAATGACAACAGCCAACAAAACAATAGCTGTCTGGTGTGAAGAAATCAATATTATACCTACTAGAGGCCCGGTGCATGAAATACATGCATGGGTGCAGTCCCTAGGCCTGGCTGGTGATCCAAGCGCGAGCAGGTGTGGAAGGGCAGGTCCCAGCTGACCTCTGGGCCCTGGGCAGCACCTGGCCCCTGGGCCCCTGCGAACCCCCCTCTGCCAGAGTCACAGCGCCTGAGTCCCCATGCAAAGATGCAGTGAGTGTGGCCGGATGCTGTGGGCCAGGGTGCAGAGTGGGCCTCTGGGCCACCCAGCAGCACGGCACAGAAGCTGGGCAGGCAGCCAGCTTGCTCCAGGCTGGCCTTGCAGACCGGCTCCAGTGCGAACCTGCTGGAAACCAAGATCAACAGTTATTAATATAAATGTGAGAAGTCTGGCAGAAGGCTGACCTGGGCTCCTTTGATATTCACAGGGTGAATTTGCATTTTATTACCTACTGCTGACTCAATGGTCTAAAAGCAAACTCCCCCCCACCCCCCACCCCCCAAAAAAAAACACCTTGATCATCTTACTGTTTACTAAACATTACCATTGATATGTCTGTTTGCATTCCTAAAAGGCAATTGCGTATTCTAGTAAATAAAAGCGGCTGAGAATGGAGACTCAGTGGAATTTGACTACTACAGTTAAGCTTTCCCTGGCTTCCCCCCCCCCATAATTCCAAATCTGTATTTCTTGTCTTGTGTTTTAATTTGTGCGTCAGCTCTTTCTCCAAGCCTTTGAACCCGAAAGCCAGGCTGGCCATGGCTTTTCACATGAACCCACGGGGAGCCTGAGCGGCGCCTGCAGTCCTGGCAGCTGAGGCCCGGCTCACCCAGAAGAGGCCATGCGGGTGCAGGGTGGGCTCCTCGCGGGCACCGGGCACCTGAGCGCGGGGGCCTCCCCGTGTGTGAGCCCTGGTGTACTGAAGGAGGGTAGCAGGGGGAGTGAGAGCGAGCTCTGCGGACACCCCGCATTCTCACTGCACCTTCTTCATCCCTGTCACCCTGCCTCCAGGTAGCCGGCAAGACTCCTCACATTGCCAAAGCCCATCATGTTCCCCTCCCGAATGACGGCCCAAAGGGACAATTTGCCTATTAGGCTTTTATTACATAGAATTTTTTTGTCAGATCGGCAAAAAATATATATTTTTGGTATGCCGCAGAATTTCAGTAATTAGCCATATGTGCGGAGGGAAGGGGAAGGTGGGGCAATGAAAGAGGTTGAACATCGCTGCATTATCTGTGCACTTTAAGGTGACTTGAAAGTCATGTCATGCTCTATTCATGCCACCACTCTTTGTCTTTGCTCTAAGTATCCCTCCTCAGGTTTTCCAATACCAGCTCACACCAATGATGCAACTTAATTCTACTCTGCTCACAACTGCCAATGGACTCCTCCCTGCTTACTTTCTTACTCTCATGCCTCCAAATGTTTTGTCCCTAGGAGCTCCCATGTTCCCCAGTAAGTCAGCAGCTTCTCAAGGGGTAACTTCTCTACTCTCTTCCTAACAACAGCATAAATAAAACTTTGGTCGTCCGCCTCTGCAAAGTTATAAACAATAGTATTAAAAGCCATATAGAGCCTGGCTGGTGTGGCTCAGAGGTTGAGTGTCATCCAAACCAAGGAGTGATGGTTCTATTCCCTGTCAGGGCACATCCCTGGGTTGTGGGCTCGATCCCCAGTAGGAAGTGTACAGAGGCAGCCAATCAATGATTCTCTCATTATTGATGTTTTTATATCTCTCTCCCTCTCCATTCCTCTCTGATATCAATAAAATTATATATTTTTAAAAGCCACATAGATTTCTTTTTTAATTCTCACCCAAGGACATTTTTCCATTGATTTTTAGAGAGTGAAAGGGAGGGGGAGAGACAGAGAGAGAAACACCTATGTGAGAGAGACACATCGACTGGTTGCCTCTCACATGTGCCCTGACTGGGGCAGGGACTTGAGCCTGCCACTGAGGTGCATGCCCTTGACCGGAATCAACCCATGACCCTTCAGTCCGCTGGCCATGGAACCAAACCGGATAGGGCTAGAATTTTAATATTAGATAGAAAGGGTAAGATCCCAGAAAGTTGACTTAGACTGGCTTTTTCTGAAGCATAACTGAAAAGGATTTATGTACGCGTGTTTGTTACAGAATGACTCACAAAAGAAACAGCTAAGGGAAAAGGTGGTGTTAGCCTGGCCCTGCAGGGAAACGGGCGTTTTCTGCTCTTTTCCCAAAGTGTTTAGTAGCCCAGGCAAAGAATTTCGGTGGGCCTTTGGGAGCAATAGCACCCAGAAGCCGCGAGAGGGAGCACAGGGACCGTGGAAGGGGACCTGGGCCGGTCTGGAAAACCGCTGCAGACCAGGGAGATGTAGGAGGGGCGGGCACTGCTTATCTCTCCAAAGACAGGTACTCCCTAAGGAACCTGACGATCAACTTTTTCAGAGCCTAATCATACTGAAATATACATATTAGCTATTGTCAGCTTAATGCTCTTCCTCCTGAAGGAAGCTCTTTTTCCTCAAAATACTCAGTGAGGGTTTTACCATAAAACTTTGCAGAGGCACGTGGTTCCTAACTTGATCACATTTTTAAAGAATCAGATCTGGCTCTGGCCGAGTGACTGGGCTGGCTGGAGCTGTGTTGTGGTCCCGGGCACCAAAAGGCTTCGGGTTCAATTCCTGGTCAGGGCTCCTATAGGAGGCAACCGATCCATGCTTCTCTCTCACATCGATGTTTCCCTCTCCCTTTCTCTCTTTAAACATATCCTCAGGTGAGGGTTATCTTTAAAAAGAATAAGATATGAAAACATAAAATTTGAAGTTTAAGTTACACTGAAGTAAAGTCTAAACAAGTAGTTTGCAACCCTGACAGAACGTTAGGATCATCTGGAGCAGTGGTTCTCAGCCTTCCTCATGTTGTGGCGACCCCCAACCATAAAATTATTTTTGTTGCTACTTCATAACTGTAATTTTGCTACTGTTATGAATTGTAATGTAAAATATCTGTTTGCTGAAACCGGTTTGGCTCAGTGGATAGAGCTTCCGCCTGTGGACTGAAAGGTCCCAGGTTCGATTCCGGTCAAGGGCATGTACCTTGGTTGTGGGCTCATCCCCAGTGGGAGGTGTGCAAGAGGCAGCTGATTGATGATTCTCTCTCATCGATGTTTCTATCTCTCTATCCCTCTCTCTTCCTCTCTGTAAAAAAATCAATAAAATATATTAAAATATATATATATAAAAAATATATATATATATATATATATATATGTGTGTGTGTGTGTGTGTGTGTGTGTGTGTGTGTCTGTGTTTTCCGATACTCTTAGGTGACCCTGCTAGCAGTTTTCAACCTGTGGGTTCTCAATCGCTGCTGTAGAGCCTTAGACCATCAGAAAACAGATATTTACATTACAATTCATTAACAGTAGCAAAATTACAGTTATGAAGTACCCTGTTTCCTTGAAAATAAGACAGTGTCTTATATTAATTTTTGCTCCCAAAGATGCGCTAGGTCTTATTTTCAGGGGATGTCTTATTTTTCCATGAAGAAGAATATGGTACACATTTATTGTTAAATGAAAATAAAGGAAATTTATCACCTGTATACGGTACGGTAGTACGGTAGTTGTCAACACAAACCAGACAAACTGTGAATCCTACAGTATCAAGAATTTACTCATTTATTCAATGACAATCATGTCATCGTCTTCTGGAACATCATCATAACAATCCAATTCCTGAATTTCCTGGTGAATTTCTTGTGACTCCATTTCTTACAGAATCAGTGGACCAAATCTCTCATGTTTAGCCTGGGGGGGAGGTTTATTTTCGGGGAGATGCCTTATATTTCACTCAGAAGGAAACCTGTAAGTAGGTCTTATTTTCGGGGAAACACGGTAGCAACAAAAATAATGTTAGGGCTGGGGGTCACCACAACATGAGGAATTCTATTAAAGGGTTGCGGCATTAGGAAGGTTGAGAACCACTTCTGGAGTATTTAAAAACTTTTAAAAAATTACCTGGGCTCCACCTGCAGAGATGCTGATGTTAGAATACAGGGTGGGGACCCCAACTGGCGAGTTTCTGAAACTGCGCGAGTGACTCTGATGTGCAGCCAGGTCTAAAAAACACACACTTAAGCCAACGCAGATGCATGGAATACATTTCCCTTCGTGCAGTTACCATTAAACTCCATTTGATCCTTATAAAAGGAAACTGCTGGGCTATCTGCCGCGTCTGCACTCCCTTCTCAGAGAATTGCCTTCTTCTCCGGCCCCAGAAGCCATAGGTGTCCTGTTAGCTCACCCCGCTGACCAAAGCCAGTAGGACAAGGGGTGGATATCAGGTCTAAGTGAACCTCCAGACTCTCTCCTAGAATTGAAGCCGGGGGTAGTAGTGTGGGGCTGGGGAAGTATTGTGGATCCAAGACTGGAGGGATGGCAATGTCCACCATTCCCACAGAGAAGTGCAGAATGCTGGCAGAGGGGTGAGGAGGAGAAACCGCCTGGGCCAGCAGTCAGAGAGAAGTCATTCTGAATCCTGGTGATTCTCTGAGAACCCATCCCAGCTGACTCCGTTGAGATTGCTATGTGGTCTCTAAAAAAGTCACCCTCCCTCCATGTATCAGAGCTGCTTTGTGCTGGTTTCTGTTACTTGCAACTAAAAAGCCTTTGTTAAAGTGATACTTTGGCCAGGTACTAAGTTTGTGCCAAAAGTATCTTTGTTAGGTTAAATAGGTAGAGACGTGTAAGCGATAGTGCATATATGCTCCCGGGCCTATGTATAATAGACATTCCTCGCCACCACGTCTGCCTGCCTCCCCAGAGGTCACGGAATCACCCAGCACGTACAGTGGCATGGTGGAGGTCCAATCAGTAGTTGTTGAATTCAACTATTAGGCTTGCCAAAAAATATGTATGTATGAGTGTGCTAGGGCCGTGGTCAGCAAACTGCGGCTCACGAGCCACATGCAGCTCTTTGGCCCCTTGAGTGTGGCTCTTCCACAAAATACCACAGCCTGGGGGAGTCTGTTTTGAAGAAGTGGCATTAGAAGAAGTTTAAGTTTTAAAAATTTGGCTCTCAATAGAACTTTTAATCATTGTACTGTTGATATTTGGCTCTGAGGACTAATGAGTTTGCCGACCACTGTGCTAGGGCGGCCATAGCAAAGGGTGGCTTAAACAGAAGCTCATTTTTTCACGAAGGTGTCAGCAGGGTTGGTTTCTCCTGAGGCCTCGCTCCTGGGCCTGCAGATGGCCACCTTCTTGCTGTGTCTTCATGCGGTCGCCCCTCGGTCTGTGTCCTAATCTCTCCTGGTAAGGACCCTGTCATATTGGAGTAAGGGCCACCCTAACACCCCATTTTAACTTAATCACCTCTTTAAAGGCTCTGCCTGCAAGTACAGTCACATTCTGAGGTGCTGGGGGTTAGCACTTCATGAGAATTTGCAGGGGACACAACTCAGTCCCTAACAAAGTATATTCACTTATTTATTTATTCCAGACACTTTTGTGGGTCGCAATGAAACCGTCCTAGTGTAATCCTCCAAACCAAAGCCTTATATCAACGCTAAATGTGCCAGCACCTTCATATTGTTAGTTTATAACTTTCAAAGCATCTTATAGTGTTTATATTCGTAATATAGATTGAATTGCTCCAAATTACATGAAAACTCTTGGAGGAGGCTACAAACTTCATAAAAACAGATAAGTTTACAGCACACAGTTTTATTATCAAAATTAGAACGGATAAAGGTTTTTAAATGTTGCTTTCTTTTCTTTCTTTCTTCCTTTTTTTTTTAAATTAAGACTTTATTTTTTAGAGCAGTTTTGGGTTCACAACAAAATTAAAGGGAAGGTACAAAAATTTCTCATATACAGCCCTAGCCGGCTTGGCTCAGTGGATAGAGCATCAGCCTATGGATTGAAAGGTCCCAGGTTCAATTCTGGCCAACGGTACATGCCTGGGTTGTGGGCTCGATCCCCAGTAGGGGGGCATGCAGAAGGCAGCCAATCAATGATTCTCTCTCATCATGGATCTTTCTATATCTCTCTCTCCTTCTC